CTTCAAGGGAGAATGAATATATATTTAGCGGGCTGAGAGGCAAAGGCAGACGCAAGGGGCAGCGAACGTCTCCAACCCGGTAAACACCAAAACAAACGGACGAAATAGCAAGTTTTCATTGACCAGTGCCCAGAAAGCTTCATAATACGGCTGCTGCTCCTTCTGCTGTTAATGCAAAACAGCAAGAAAATTCGACATCAAGCGACACACGGAGCCCCACAATATGGCGCCTAGTTTATGGCACCTAAAAGCCTAATGAGAGGTTGGAGGCGCTGCGTCGTATTCTTCGTTAAGTAAGGGTAAGCTGTACTCGCAGCAGCGCTAGAAATAGAAGGAATAGCAGTAGCAAGAGCAGGGGCAGCATCAAAAGGAGAAGCAACGGCGCTCTAGCGTCGGGGATTTTTCGTCGGCGGTTAACTACGGCTAGCAAGGCTCCGCCCGCGCCTGCAGTTGCGTGTATCCACATGAGATGCATCTGTTTCAAGATTGCATTTTCTCCCTGAACATTGTATATTGGCTTCGCCATATCCGTTTCGGTGTACGCTTGCCTTTGGTGCTGNCATTTTCTCCCTGAACATTGTATATTGGCTTCGCCATATCCGTTTCGGTGTACGCTTGCCTTTGGTGCTGCTAAGCCTTTTTCGCTGTCGCTCCCTTTACTCCAGTTGTAGGGGAGATATGCTCCATCCTCTGTCTGTGTTCGATCCGCTTGAGGAGACAAGTGTCCATAGGTCTCTGTCTGCAACTGTGCCTTTCAAGTGTCTCTTTTACTTCTCTTCACGGTTCCCTGTCGCTCTTGGATATCCCGTTCCGTCTGCGTCGTTGCTGCCCTCTTCGCATCGAGCTAACTTCTCGCCGTTCTAAAGATCCGTTGCCACTCCATCAAGCCAACTAGCTACCCAGATACTTGAAGAGTTGCCTAGCTGGCCTCCTGGCTAGCTCGCTGGCCGGCTAACTAGCTGCCGCCCACCTAGCCCAGCTGACAGCTGGCCCCCTGCAGCCGCTCCCTGGCTACCATGCCACCTAGCCAGGAGTGACGAGGATGAATGAAATCATGGCTAGAGTGACAGCCAGAGCGATAGCTAGCTGCACTAAAGGCATAAGTGACGAGAAGAAGGAGAAGCGCAGCAGCTTTTTAGCTGCATCTAAGCCCCGTTGCTGCTGATGCTGCAGAGCTTCTTGCGTTGCTGCCGTTCGTCGCAGCAGGATATTGTCTTTCTGCAATCGCTCTCTAAACATCAAAGCCCCTTGCTTCATTTCATGGGCCGTGTCAAGGAGGTGCTCCTCTAGGTGGCTGCCGGCGGCTTGTGCTGCTGCTGGTGTTGCAACGGGAGCAGCATCAGCAGTTGCTGTTGCTTGCTTGGGATTACTGTTGCACTGGAGCAGCAGTTCCCGGTTTCTACGATCTTCCAGCAGCAAATTCTGGGGTCCTTCCTCGGAAAAAGCCTGCTGCCGTCGTCCTTGTTGCTGCTCAGTTGCTGCTACTTGTGCTGGTACAGGCGATACTGATGCTTCGCCGTCGCTTGGAAATTCTTCCGCCCATGCTGCAAGATCCGCCAGCACCTGATCCACTAGCTGCAGCAACAGCTGTTGTTGTTGTTGCTGCTGTTGTTGCTGCCAGTACACCCGTTTTCTTGGAAGCGGCACGACCAATAATCCCCTGATGCTGCTGCTGCAGCTATTATTGCTGTTGCACAGCTGTTGTAATTCCTGAACAAACGCCGTTATTGCTGCAGCGGCAGCAGCTCCTGGCTCTGATGCCTCGGGCTGCTGTTGTTGGTGCCGCTTCTGCTGCCGCTGCAGCTGCTGTTGCAGCACAGAGAGTGTTTGCACGTTCTGCAGCAAACAGGTCACTTGCGCCAAACCCCCAAATAACTATGCCAAGTTAGGCAAGAAAACGGCACCAGGAGCAGTTATACTCGCATCAACGGCACCAGAGGCAGCACCAGCAATAGGACTAGGGGAGGCTCTGCAGCACAAACACCAGCCAAGACAGCCAGGAACAACAGCAGCAACGGCTGCGAGAACTCACTTGCAGCAGACTCGCCCAGGATGCAGCTGATTTGATGGCACACTCCCTATACAGCAATTTTTTTCCCTCCCCGCAGTTGCTGTTGTTGCTGCTACTGTGCTCTGCAGAGGCACCATCGGCGTCATGCTCTTGTTGGAGCTGCTCCAACTGCAGGCGGGAATGGCGAAGCAGCTGCAGCAATTCAGTCTCCAAGGCTGCGTAGCAAGCTTCCTCTCGCTTCTGCTGCTGCAGTTCCTTCTGCTCCTTATGCTGCTGCAAGCCCTTCTGCTCCTTCGGGCCCCTCCCGTCCTCCCGCCCCTGCTGCCGCAAACGCGTAGTCGCCTTGAACAATGCGGAAGGCATTGACGTTGCTCGCGAGGTAGCCTGTACTGGAGCAGGAGTAGCAGAGGAGCACTTCTTCCGATAGAAGCGACCCTGCAGAAGATGTTTGCTGCTGCTCTAGCAGCAGCAAGTGCTGCTGCTGGCCCCCCTGCTGCCCCCGCTGCGCGACCCGGTGGAGTTACGATAGCTTATAGGATGCACTTTCTGGTATAATTTGTTTTAAAACAGTCACAATGAGACGGCGTAGGCTGTGAGCGTAGCTGCAGCAGCAAGACGAGCAGCAGTGTCTGTGCCTCTGCGGCCGACGGGGCCCCCTCCAGCAATCGCCGCAACAGGAGGAGCTCCAGCAGGATCAGCAATAGGAACAACCAGTTTGTCAGTGTTGTGTTCTATACCTTGGCCTTTTGACTGCAGTAGACACTTGCAGAGGTGCGGCGGCGCGAGCTATAGAGGCGGGTGAACCTAAAGTTGCAGCAGCAACAGCAGCAGACCAGTAACACATCTACGCTGAGCAACACCGATAGCTGATACGGGCAGCAAATGGACGGGTGGAGTTGCTTCAGCGGCGCCTGAAACTTATTTTGTGCTGCAGGAGGCCGTTTTGTTCTCTATAACAGCAACAGCAACAGCCAGAGCAGCGGCCGCAGGAGAGTCGGCCGCACCCCCGGTGACTGGCGGTTGCAGCAGATCTTGTTCCTCCTTCTGAAGCAACAGCACCTGCAGCGGGTCTCAATACAGTTGCAGAAGGAGCTGGAAACAGAGCGGCAGCAGCAGCAAGATGGCACAGCAGCCGCAAGACAAGCTGGAGGCAGCGGCAGAAGCAGCAGGAGCAGCAGCTGCGGCAGCTGCTGCAAGTGTCTGGCGCTTCTTTGAAGATGACACTGCAGCAAAGCGGGACCCAATTAGAAGTATTAATGGCAGCAACGACGACAGCGCTCATGACAGGACTGTCCAACAGCAGGATACTCCTGCAGGGGCTACGGCAGCAAAACTCGCACAAGTTACGGACTTAGCTCCGCCCGCAGGTCCAGATACTTCTACTGTGTTTTCTGCTGCTCCTGCATACGAGAGCAACGGCAACCTCACAAGCAGCGACAGCAAGAGCAGCAGCAGCGACAGCAGCACAACAGCAACAAGTAAGGACACAAGCCCCATGGGTCCTCGAGGAAATGCCGATGAACCCAACGCTCCAGCGGCGTGTAGCAGCGACAACAGCAGCAGCTGCGCGGACAACGTCAACGAGGTCGTCATCGCCGACGGCAGCGCAACTGGCAGCCGTAGTATCAGCAGCAACGAGTGCAACAACGGCAGCGGTGGCGACAGCAGTAGCTGCAGAGGCGGAGATTTCGCTGCAGCTTTGGGACTGATAAGGAATGCAGCAAGCCGGGTTCTGTCCGGGAGCTCTCAACAGCAGGAACAGGAACAGCAGGGGCCGCACCAACAGCGCCAGCTGCCGATGCAAGGGACAACGGAGCCACCCCACAACAGCGAAGGTCTCCAGTCGGGCCGCAGCACTGCTGTAGGAGCTGTACAAACAGTCACCGCTGCTGCGGCAGCATCTCCAGGCGCTGCTGCCGCTGCTGCTGTTGTTGCTGCTGCAGTTGCAGCAGCCGATGCAGCTATACGAGGAAGTAGCAACTCAGAGCCCAGCAGCAGCAGCAGCAACAACAGCACCAGCAACACGGCGCACTACCAAACCTCAACCACCCCGGAGGCGGTGCAAGTTGCGCATAGACTGCCACCGCAGCAACAACAAGGTAAGATTGAACAATCTTTGGATGCATCAACAACCAATACTGCGCTGGGTACTGCCGCAGAGGCTGCAGGGTCTGCTCCTGAAGTGACGGCAGCAGCAGACACAAACCAGGAACAAACCCCAGAGGGACGAACCTCCGCAGCACCAAGCTCAGCAGAAGCAACAGCAGCAGCAGGCATCCATAAGCTGGTGGAGACTCGTTTTGGCTACGCCACGGACATTGGGGGGCAGCTGCAGCACACAGCCCAGCAGACGGCAGCAAAGAAACACCCGGAAGAGGGCAAGCTGAACCCTACACCTGGCTCCTTGAGTTGCAAATTTTAAGACTCAAATTAGCTCATGGCCTGAAGGCCTGCTTCTACCGAACGAGGACAGCGTGTGCATGCAAGCGAATAGCCGATCGAGTGGTTATGCATATGGAATCGGACACTGCAAATAAAAATTTCCTGGTGTTGGTACTTTGCAGCTCAAGAGTTTAGGATGCGTGTTCTGTTATGTGTTGTGATGTGTGCTCTGCAGACGCCAGCACCCCGAGTTGGTACCTGCACAAGCGACATACATTTATCTTTTCATATTCAGGAAAACCCGTCTACTCCCGGTAAAATAAACCCTTGATCCTAAAGTATCGATTTGTCTTAAAACTTTGCGCCGCGACCTCAGCGCAGACACCAGTACCCATGCTGACCAGGCCAGCGCCAAACGCAGCAGCTGCAGGCTGCAGTGGTAGCAACAGCAGCAAAAGTGGCGAATGCTTTGTGACCCTATCCGCAGCTACGGCAAGGAAGAGAACCTCGGCGCCTTCGCAGGTGCGTATACACCTCGTACGCGTGATGGTTGGAACTGTCGAGCTTCAGTCGGTCCGACGAGCAGTTTCTACGGTGTTGAGTCTGTCGGCTCAGCGTTTGGGTTCAGGGTAAGAGTTCAGGCTTTAGGGCTCGTATGGGTGCATTACACAGGGGCGCTGTCGGCAATCGTTTCGAAGCTGGAAAGGTTTCGCGGCGACAAGCCCCCCGATGTAGTGCGGTGAGGCCTTAGGGTTTAGGGTCTGGGATGCTCTCTCCACGGTATGTAGAGTGCAACCTCTAGTTGTTTTTAGTTTTTCGTGGAGGCGCCGTAGGCTTGCTGGTATTGAGTCTAGGGCTCAAACTAAAGGGTGTAGGGTCCAGTATTGAGGGTTTAAGGTGTTGGTTTGGGGAGTTGCTGCAGTCACTTTCGCTGTTTCGGGGGCCGTTTTGTATTTCTTTCTCGGGGTCCCTTTTACTTGGCGCTCTTTGACCGACAGAGTATCAACAACAACATGGCGAGGGCTTACCTCATGCTGCTTCATAGACAGGTCTTAATGCTGCTGCTGGTGTTTGCTGCTGCCGCTGCTGCCTGCTGCCGTTTGTTTTGGGAACCGCTCGCAGCTGTAATGGTTGCTGGTGCTGCTGCTGGGAGACGGCACACCTATTACGTGCTCAGTTCCGATTCTCTAAATTTGAATTCTAAACCCAAAACATCCCACTCGCTCGCGCAGGCTGCTAATGTTTGCTATTGCTGCTGCTGCTGCTGCAGCTGGTATGTATTCTGACAAAAGAAGTCGAACGCACTCTTCTAATTCGACCGAGCTTCGACGTGAGGCCTCTTATGGGAGGTATGACTGTTGCTGTTGCAGCTGTTGCAGTTACTAGTGCTGGCGGCCGTTTTGTTGTTGCCTTTGGAGCTTCATGCGCACTGAGTGAGCCTGGCGAATCTGCTGCTCCTGTCGAGTGTCTGTTTTCGTTGCTGCTGTTGCTGNTGCTGTTGCTGCAGGCACGGACGGCATATTTCGCGGGCTTCATCGCCATTACTTCAACTCCATGCTTTCCGTTTTGCTGCCAATTTTGCTGGAGTCAAATTGTGCTGCAGTTGCAGCTGCTGCTCCAGTTGGCCCTGGAGCAGTCGCCACTTCCGCTGCAGCAGAGCAGCTGCATCAGCAGCAGCAACAGCAGGAGCAGCAATCTGCTGCCCTTTCGATTAGCGGGGCCTTCGAGGCTCTGCCCCTGAGCAGCACGATGCGGCACATAGCCACGACGGCAGTGAAGAATGGCCCCACCCCGAACGTCCTGTCAGTGCACTTCTTCACATGTTGAAGCTTTGTCGTTTTTTCCGTTTAGTCCTCATGGTGCTTTGGTCCTCATGGAGCTATGGCCACTTCCGTGATATTAGTCTTTCTGCTTTTGCCGGTCTTTTGACCTCCCTCTTCCTGTTTTCCCTCTGTCCTGCTGTTAGAGTCCTGGCTGTCTCTCGTTATTTGCTGAGTCGGTGTGCGTGTGCCTTCCCCCGTTCCCTTCTTCACGGCATTTTTGGCCTTTCTGTTGAGGGCTTCTGCACCATGTATATCTAAGGGACTGGTTTTCAGGGTTTTAGTCTCTCTTTGCTCGCAGAGCCTCGATGCTCTTGGCAGAACAACGGGTTGTTTCTCTCTCGTACGCTAAGGGATACGAGCTCAGTTCCACAGGTAAACCCTAAACCCTGAGCTCTACTCCTCAGCAAGCCTACGGATCGTCTCACTTGGGTTGTCTTTACTGCGGTTTTTGTTATTACTAGTAGTTAATGAGTAATTTGAATTCAGGCATGCGCTTCAAGTTTGGGGGCTTAGGGGCTAGGCTGTGTGCGTGCAGATGTCTGCTTGCTGACAAACTTTGTGAGTTCGTCCTTGGCTCTGCGCCAGCTGGAAAGTTTTACTCCACTCTGTCTTCCGAGCATAAATGACAGGCAAGCGGCTTCATCCTCCCCGTTCGTTGTCTTTGGAAGCCTTCGTCTCAGTCCGCATGTGTTTGTTTTTGAGTTCCATTTTGTCACTGCTCCGTATGCTCTTTCTGTTTCGCCTTCTCCCCCTTCCAGTCCTTTTTGTGCTTCATGTTATACCTTCGTTGCCTTTAGATGCCTCCCTTATGGGATCTTTAACTAGTTCTGTTTGCTTTCGTCGCATCTTCAGCGGCACCCCCGTTTTGCCTTCACTTGACGCATGTACATCTCTGCCTACGTTATCGTGCTTTTTGCCTTTGCAGGGGCTTTTTGCACGCTTACGTTCGCTACTTGACGCCGCGTCTGGCCTTCGTTTGTCTATCTTCTCCGGCGGACTCCATACGATTTCATCACCTCGCAAACCACTGCAACAAACTCTTCGCGGTACTCGCCTGAAAAGGGTTCAGGGGGTCGGGCTTAGGTTTGAAAGGCCGGGCATCAGCCATTCGTTGAGTTTTCGCTGCATACTTCCTTTCCAGCCAATTGCATGGTTTACGGTTTAGAGTTTAAGCTTTGTTGCAGATGCTGACGAACACCGGCTGCTTGGCCGCCATAGAGACGTCGCTGGAGTATGCACCGTATGCTCTGCGTGAGTGGAACCTCTATCTTTCAGCATTTGGTCTCCGCGCCTTTCTAGGGTTTAGGGTCCCTAGCTGAGGACTGGTAATCAAGGGTTTTGGGCTCGAAGTTGTATGTATGTGTGCAGCACGTTGCCTTTGGGGCGATATAGCGTTGGTGCACTGCGCCCTCTTCGTGCCTTCTTTGTCTCAATACTTTTCGTCTGCGTTTGGAGATGACTACAAAACAGACGTCTCAAAGCAGCAGCGGTGAGGACAGCCTGAATCCCGGATTTCCAGCTCCAACCTGCCGGACACGCTCCCCGCAAACCCTGGATCCACGCCATGCAGCCTGGCGACCGTGGATTCCTGTGGTCCTCTGCTTCCCGTATACGGGTTCAGTGTGCAGCTTCAGGGTGTACATGTCTTGCTGCAGCGTCTATACTCTGTACACAAGCGCTTCAGAGTTGATACAAAACGCAAAGCGCCCGGCACACTCCTTCGTGGAGACAACGGTGAGGGTTTAGGGTCTGACTGGTCCAGGTTGAGGGTTTGTTGCCTCGGTTGTCTAGGGCGAGGGCTTACAGCTAGGCTGTAGGGTTCGGTGTTCGCCGTCAGGACGAGAAAGTGTATGTGTGGCTGACGGTGGAGTTCTTCTTCTTTTGCTGCATCCCAAGATGGATAAGTAGGGCAACCAGCAGCTGCTTCTACACCCGTTGGCGCAGCATATGCTGCTCCTCCTACTTTTGCAGCTCGTCGCTGTGGGAGAGGCGTTATTGATAGAAAAGCAATAACGCATTCAGGGAGTGCCCCGGTTAGTGTTTTGGTGTCCACGGAGCTGCCAAACCTGACTGTTTAGGGTTTGGGGTTTGGGGTTTGAGTGCAGGTATATCAACGACCCTGGTGGAGCAGCTAGCCAAGTGGATTCGAGAACAGCAGCCGTTCCTCTTTATTACAGAAACCCCTCCTCTTGTACACACGCCACAGCACAAATGAAAGCCGATGAAGGCGCATCCAACGGAAGCGGCTGCTGTTTGATTAGCTACTTCCATTTTTATCATAGCAGCCGCAGCAGCCCGAGGCACCAGCACCAGCAGCAGCCTCCATATTGTTAGCAGCTGCTCCAAAACCCAGTCTTTCTCACGTTGCCTTTATTCGCCTCCGTCATCTGAACAGCGGCAGCAGATTGTGCACTGTGTCCGCTGCAGCTGCCGCTGTAGTCGTTGCTGCAGTTCAGCATTGTACAGCGGCGTATTTCCTCCCCATTTGTCGTCTGCTTTTTCGGCGGCTTTAGCCTGAGCCCTACAAGGCTACCTGCCGATGGTCTTGGGGAATTCTGGCTTTTTTCTGTCTTCGCGTGCGTGTCTTGCTATTCCTCTAGATAGTGTAGCGAGCAACAGCAACCAAAACAGCAGCAGCAGCCAGGAGAACAGTTAAGAGAGAGAGATGGGGCTGTTTAGCGGCCCACCAGCCCCGTAAATATTAAAAGTAAATTGTCTAGAGCCCGCTCGCGCAGTAGTGGCAACTGCATTCAAATCCAAACTCTTCAAGCCTCTGTCGCCTAAGCTGTCTGTCCGTGCGGGGTAAGTCCTTAATATAAGATACGCACAACTCTTCTCCTTGCTGAACGTTTCTTACGAGCTTCAGCCGCATTTGTCCTCCGCGCGGGCTGTCCGTGCATTCTATCGCCATGTTGGGCGCGCAACTGTGGTTGATGCGGGCGATGGAGCAGAAGAACGCCGTTTGCTTCACTCCAGGAAATTCGCGGCCCTTTCCTACTGGAGGAGGACAGAGGAAGGACAGAGGCTTGTTTAAATACACCTCCCTTAATGTACGCACCTCCCCTTCAGCATGCGTGGCTTGCGGATTGTGGCCGACGTCTTCGTCGCTGTCCGCTTCTTTTTGCTGCTCCCCAAAGAGAGCGACGAGGGCTGCTTCCTTCTCCGCCAGCAGAGCTTGCAAATCTCCTGCATCGCTGCCTTGCGCCCGTGAGAAGCAAAACCCGAAGAAGTCATTCAGAGGGTTCGGCCCCTCCAAGTCTGAATTGCAGTGCTCGAAGAGCGACAGCAATTCAGAAACAAGAGACGGGGATATGAGGTGTACGTACACTTCAGATATCTCCCTCAAGCCCAACAGCAGTAGACTTGATCCTCTTTCGATAATATCTCTTCTGCTCAACTCTGTCTCTGTTGTCTCCTCATCCGTTTCCTCTTCCAGCAATCGGTCCCCTGTGGTTGTCTCTGTCTCTTCCTCTTCCCACTGTCCGTGGTGGTGCTGCAGCAGCAACCGCAGCAACTGCAGCGCCGCAGCAGCAGCTTCTGCTTCGTTTGGCACTAGTCCTCCTGGTGATGCTAATCCAGTAGCTGCTGCTCCAGCGGCTGCTGCTGACACAATGGCTGCAGCAGCCAGCAGCAGGTTTTCGCAGTGCTCAACAGCAAAACGTTTAAAGATGACCAACGGCGCCCCTTCGCTCAGGCGGCCGACGCAAAGCTGCTGATGGACAACGTCGCCGTCAAGACACTGCGCGGAACAAAACGCCTCACCGCAACCGGCGGGGCAAGACACGACTTCCAGGTGCTGCTGCCGCTGCTGCTGCTGCTGGAGCTGCAGCAGCGAGTGTCTGTTGATATTCAGGGACTGCAGGTGACCGTACGACTCAGGCACCGCAGAGAAAAAGTGCAGCAGCTGAGATACTGCGTCCCCCAATGGAGCTTTACAGAAGCAGCAAGCCTTAACCAGGCACTTGTTGATGGTGTGCTGTAGAGACAGCAGCGGGGGCTCTTCATATACCACAAACCCCGCGGGTAAGTCGCGGAGAGCCACAAACCCTAAACCCCTATCTTCCCCATTACGCCCTCTCACTGGCGCCACAGCAAAGGCTCGCCCTTGCTGCTGCAACTGTTGCAGCTGCTGCGCTTCGTAAACCGGCTGCAGCAAGGGCTGCTGCAGCAGAGCTGCGAACCCTTGAGGCTGTTCACTTTCCAGCTGCTGCTGTTTCTGCTGTGGAAGATTTGAAGAGTGACGGGTGGAAACGTCCATCGCGGTGAGGAGCTGCAGAGACCCTTCTGGAATCCCTGTGTCGTGCTTTGTGTCTCCGATCGAGGCTTTAGGTCAGGCCATGCCAGATGACTCGAGCGAGAAACAAGGCAGTTGAAAGTAAGATTGGAGGTATTACCTTTCAATATTGATGCTTGCTATCAAGTGCCTACGCATTGGAGCGTGGCTTTTAGGGTTTAAGGTTGGGAGTTCACGGTGGGGCCCCACACCGACCGGGGCCCTTCCGAAGCACGTGAACTTCCGTCACAGAATGCAAGATAGTAAACCCTAAGCGCACAGTGGTGTACCCCGTTTTTCGAACACTGTGTCAATATATGTGCCGGTTCTTCAGTGAACACAATTTATTGGTTAGTTCCCCCCTGGCAACCGAACTCAGCTTGAGAGCTTCAACCTTGAACGTCTGCCCTCGTGACCTTACGACTCTCTAGGGCCCTATATTCTGAGCTATAAACACTAAATATAGCCATAGGAGAGCGCCATATGACGGGCGTCTGCTTGCGTTCGCTTGTTTGACCCTAGATCACTCGCCGGAGTGACCCTGCCGGACAGTCGATCGTGTCTACGCCATACGGTTTAAGGTTTAGGGTTTAAGCTTCTTCCTGAATAATTATGCACCTCTCGTCGCCTAGGGGAAGACGGAAGCCTCACGCGTCTTCCTGTTTTTCTGGTGCCCGTATCAGCAGAAAGGCGACACAGCGATGTAGCGACAGCAGCAGCAGCAGTTGGTGCTGCCGTGGCCTGTGAGATGCCTATGGTGGCTTTTGAGAAGCTGGAGCTGTCTTTATGAGTTGCATTTGACCATAAACTCTTTTTCCTTCGTTCCCGTACAAACTCTATGGTATCTCTACATTCTCTGATTGGCTGGGAGTCCTGAGGCACTGTTGGGGTCCCCGCCGACCCAGAAGCAGCAACAGAAGCACCACCAGCAGCAGTAAATAAAGAAGAGCGATTGCCGCCTGGGGACGACTGCCGGCTGACAGCGCGCCGTGCTGCAGACAAAGAGAGGAACAGCCAACGGAAATGTATGCAAGACAGAGCCTACATGAGTCCTGAGTCAACCCTGAACAGACTTTAGCGCAACCGGGTGAAACATGCGTCGCGGCAGCGCGCTGATGTCAATGTTCGTGAGGCTCTCCAAAGCCGAAACCCGCACACGCACGTTGCTTCTTCGCCTCCTCCTGGAGATCTTGCAGCACGGCCTCCAATTTCTCGATGAAGTCCCTCAGGCGCAGGAGCTGCTGCTGTGCTACGAAGTACTCTGTGGCTTGCATCAGCTGCTGCTTAGGCAAACCGCGGTGCATTGTACCTCCCTGGGCAGAAGCAGCAGCAGCTGCTGCTGCTGCTGACTTTTCAAGACCCACGGCGTACAGGCGGAAGACCGACGGATTTTGCGAGTATTTCTGAGCAAAACCCCATACCATCCTTCTGTAGTTTAGCAATTCGCTTTGGAAACAAAGCCGTTGTTGCACCCTAGTGGCAGTATGAAGAGACCGTGACACAAAGGGGCTGGGGTGTCGGGGCTACGGCGTAGGTTTTTCGGGTGATGACTTTACGTAAAACATGTTATTTGTTTTCTGATACAGCAGGCCCAAAGACCCCGCAGCCTCTCTATGTCTGCTGTTCGCCTCTTCTGCTGCGGTTTCAAGTCCGTCTGCCGTCATCTGTGTTGCCTCCAGCTCCTGGAATATATTCCCTAAATCGAGAAACAACCAGCTCATGATCTGTGTTAATGTTCAGGGCTTGAATGCGTGATCTCGGACTTCACTGGTGCTATGTTGATTATAGAGTTTCAGCGCTGCTGAGTGGTTTGAGCGTTTGTAATCAAATATTTGGGCTTCAGGCTTGAGAAATTAGGGTTTACTGAGGGTTTCCAAGTGGGTCTCCTCTTCCTGCAACACCCGCTTCTTAAAATTCGCAAATTCTGCTCGGATCTGCTCCATTTTCCCTGCAAATATGAAAGGCTAAACCATAGACCACCAAACGTGCTTGAAAACTCCTGCATCCTACGCCTTTGGCTGTGTCTGAGGGGTTTTCGATTCAATGCTAGGCGGAATACGCTTGCGTTGTGAACCGCATTTGCGCTGCATGGAGTAAGTTTTAGGGGCAATTATACTGAGTAATTCAGCGTTGTGCTGCTGTAGCTCCTTCCGCGTCGCTTTGAGAGAACGCAGACGCCTAAGGAGAGCCAGCGGGTCTCCATAGACTCCACTAATTCGTAGCAAGAACAACCTAGCTCACAAGACAACACGCCCTTAACCGTTGCTTGAGGAAAGAGTGCCTTAATATTTGTTTCAATCACTGCAAATCGCAAAACAAACCGACTTATAGGGCAGCAACGCCTCAGCTTCCCGCTGCAGTTGTTCCTCAGCTGCAGCTGCTACTTCTTCTTCTGCTTGGAGTTTTTCGGCCTTTCGTGTGGCTGCTGCAGCCCGGTGTTTGTACACTCCAAGGCTCTTCCTGCTCGCCTGGCCGTTTATTACGTTTCGGCGTAGTCTTGGGCCGTTGCTGCGCACGTGCTGCAGTGTCAACAACAAACGCGCCATGCGCAGCAAGAGCAGGAGCAGTATATTGTTTTGGGGGTAGTCCGGCACTTTCATCCACTTGTTCGCTGGCCTGTGGTTTAGGAAATAGTGTTTAGGGTTTCCATACCTCCTTGAACGCCTCCCTTGCAGCCATAAGCTTGTCGCACCTTACTGCTGCTGCTTCTAAAACCGTCCCGAAGTGCTCCAAACTTTCTGCCCTGGAGGCGGCAAGCTGTTGCAGCTGCTGCCGCCTAGCTGCCGCCAGGGATTGAGGTGCTGCTGCTGCCTCACACAGCATCCGCAGCAGCATCAACAGCAGTTTCAAGAGCAGACACACCAGCAAAAAGGGGGAAGTGGCGCAGCAGAAGCAGCGCCCGAAAATGGAAAGGCTGTGCTGCTGCTGCGCCTATTCCTGCTGCTGTCCGAACTCTAATCACGTGCACTTTTGAAATGGCTTAGGGTTTAGGGCTTAGATAGTAACGTTGCACATTTGGAAATCTCCAGTAGCTGGCGAAAAGCCTCGACCTTCCCATCCAGCAGACGCATACGGCGATCGTGGTGCTGCTGTTGCTTCTCTTTTGGCAGCGGCTGCGCAAGGCTTAGCCTACTGCTGTTTCGGCTGCTGAAACCGCTGCTGAGTGCAGATGGCGTTGAATGTTCTAGGAGATGCAAAGGAGGAATACCCACATCAGCAGCAGCATCCGAGGGGACACCAGAGATAGCAGCCTCAGCCCTCGTCGCAGCAGCACCAGTGACAGCAATTGAAGCCGCTGTTGCAGTGGCAGCAAGCTGAGTGTGATCAGCAGCAGCAGCAACGCCCTTTGTTGCTTCTACCGCCGGCGGCATCGTACATATTCCAGCGCTTTTTTGTGCTGCCGTTGCATGGGCAGCAGCAACACTAGCAGCTGTTGCAACAGCAACACTGGCACGCGTGACGGGGCCAACATTAGCAAGATCAGCGACCCCAAAACCAGCAGGAGTAACAGGAGAAAGTGGAGAGCCGCTGGCTTCTTCACAAGCAGTCAGAAATGTGTTGCCTTCACACCGATTTTGCAGCTGCCCCAGCGGGTGCTGTTGGACGACCGGCTGCGTCACTTGCTGGCTTTGGTGTTGCCATCGCGATTGTTCTGCTTGTCCTTGCTGCTGCTGTTCCTTCTGCGGTTGCTGCTCCAGATGCTTTTGTTGTTTCTGCTGCTGTTCCTGGCATTGCTGTGGGTGGCACGGCTGTTGCTGATGCCTTTCCTGCTGTTTCTGGTGCTGTTGACCTCTTTGGTCCTCCTGATGTGGCTGCCTTAGCTTCTTTGGATCCTGATGGTGCTGTTGAGTAGACAACTGCCGCTCTTGCAGCAGTTGTAGTTGCTCCGCCTTCCGCTGCAGTCTGAAATAAAGTAACTGCAAGGCACTTGTTGGCAGCTGCCGCTTAGTTCCCTTCAAGCGTTGTTGCTGCTGCTGTTGCCGTTTGCTCAACGGTTGCCTGTTTTGTTTCTGCACTGCACAACGACCCCGCAGCAGCTCCACTAGCTCACGGTGCCTCTGCTGTCTCATCTCCTCGGGGTGTCGCTGCTGTTGCGGCAGCGTGCCTGTGAGCCTGCTGAGGGCTGTGGGTGGTTTAGGACGCTGCTGCTGCTGCTGTACATCTCTTAGCAACAACTCTCCTGCGTTTATGCAGTCCAGATAGTGCAAAAGTTGCTGTTGCTTCTCGAGCACCCGCTGCTTTGCTGCAGCAAGAGCTGCGTTTGTTGCTGGTGTCCCAGAAGATAGTCGTTGTTGCTGGAGAGCCCTGGGAGAGTGACGCATAGACCCTGCGGCTGCTTCTGTTGCTGCTGCTGCTGCTGCAGATGGGGGTGTAGCGGACGGCCCGGCTGATGGTGAGTTTCCCCATTGACGTCTCGTGCTGCCGTTGGCGCTGCTAGCTCTATCGTTACTGATTGAGACTACAGCTGATTCTGTTGCTGCTGCTGAAACATTTCCACCTATCTTGGCTGCCGATGCTCTATCTGGCCGCCGCAGAAGCAATGCCAGCCTTATTAACTCCTTAGCTTTGGAAGGAGCGGCTTCTTTCCTTAGCCGTGTTGCACTATCTGGGGCCGCAGAAGGAGGCAAGGCAGCAGAAGAAGAGGCGGAAACGGGGGTAGAAGCTACACCAGAAGTAGCTGGCACTGCCGCTGAGACTTCCCGGTCCCAACTGTCTGTGGGCAGGCGCAGCGAAATATGTTTGGGGGCCTCCATGATAGCCCTCCGTCGTTGATGCTATTGTCGCTAATGATTGTTGAAACAGGATGGAGCAGCTGCATTAGCTGCTGCGGTTGGCCTTTTCACTGAGCCAAAGGAACTGAGTAACCTCGAAGAGGCCCCTGGCACTCTTCGAGGCTACTCTAGTTGCTTTTTTGCGTGCTCCTCTGTGTCAGTGTTTTCGTCTCCCTCCCGCTCTTATCTTTGTCTGCCTTTTTATTTCGTGCCCCCGAAATTTCCACTCTTTGTTCGCTTTATTTACTTCAGTTTTTTTCTCTCTCTTCCCTTGCCTCTGTTCAACGCTTTTTGCGTCGATGTTTGGCCCTTGCTTCTCTGGTAAAGTCACTCTCAGGTGCTGCCACCTGCTGCCGTTGTTGCCGCCGAAGCTGTGTCTGCTGTGACTGTGGGTGTTACTCCTGGTTCTTCTGCGCTTGCCGTTGCAACCCCTGTTGTCGCCAATTCGGCCGTCAGGGTCGCCGCTGTGGTCGCCGTTGCTGGAGCTGCTGCCTGGCCAGCGACTGGATGTAGAAGCAAAGGCTTGGGACCAACGAGTAATACTACAATTTAGGAGGCTTTTCAAATAAAGAAATTGTAGATTTGAGACCCTGGGTTCTAATGCTACGGTTGTGTACTGCTCGGCCCTTGCTTGGCGCACGCTCTGAAGCCCCCTTAAGGCCTCAAAACTCCAGCTTCTGAAACTCTAACACCCTAACAATGAGCTTTACTCTGCGTTTGACTGAAGCCAGGATAGTTTCATTTCTGTCGTGGTCGTTTTGCTGTAGTTCCGTAACCCCAGGTCCTTACCGGTTTGAAGCCCGCGAGTCCCATTATCGTCGGGAACGGCCGCCTCCGATGTCAGCAAATGGGAGACCTCATCTGCCCCCTCGAAATAAAAACTTATGTTTAATCAATTGAAATATATACATTTATAACTTCTAAAACTGTCTTCTAAGTAATTGATGGTGGAATGGGCTGGCTGCAGCCAATGGATCGACCCTCGATCACTACGGGCGTGCGGTCACTCCACACACGTGCCTTACACCTTACGCCGCATCAACTAGGTGTTCAGCCCCAAGCCTTCAAATCGCATGACAATTGGAAAGCCTTACTTTCTACATGCTAAACCACGCATGATGATCACTCCGTGAACCCCCAGCGGCATTCGTCCCAAGCCAGGTAACACCGTTGCTGCCTCTTTTGCCGCTTGAACACTACAAACTGGGTAGGTTGTATGCTTGGCATCTAGACGGATCATGGCCGGCCCTCATCTACACACTTCCTACTACACTGATTCTTGTGTCTGTGCTTGTGCCCCGGGAACCCCTTCCGCTGCTATCCTCCCGTCTACTCGGCACGAGAGCTGTGCGCTCGAGCCACCAGCATACGTTTCTCCGGTTTACAACCTGAAACCTACACCTAGTGCCTATAGGCACTGAATGTTTTACTCTTCTGCATCTTCGCTGGAACTGTTAATGCAGTAGCAACATTCACACCACCAGCTGCCTCTACCCACTGCCAAACTATTGAGGCAGAAAAAGCAGCCCGTTAACGTATAGCGTCAAGCTGGCACCGAAGCCAACACAAAATAATATGATAAGTACAGTTCATTATTGTACCTGTCAAATGCTGTTTCAAAGCTTAGAATGTTGAGCCTTCGCGCTTTGTGACCGAGGGCTGCGCAATTTATGGCTAGGTTTCGTGTTTACATCAGCCCCGAAAACCTCTTCTGTTGCCAGTTTGTTCCTGGGCGCGCTCTCATCCATCGATTCAAGGTAAATCTGAGCATACCACAAGCCACAAAACATACTGGCTAGACCCTAAACTTTACGACCTGGAACCACAGTTCGCGAATCTATGCAGGGGTGATTGCTGCTCCAGCATCCTGTTTGGAAGTTGAAGGCTCGGAACCTTCGTATTACGTGTTAACTGATGTACCCTTCGCTTTTCCTTTTGTCCCTGCCGCCTTGCGAAGTCCAAAGCTTCCCGAAGTCGCCGCGGTCTCAGCAACTGCATGACCACAAAATTTTCATCCATCAACATAAACCCTCATACTACAACAGCAACGCGGCCTTCCATAAACTAGATTCTACAGCCCTTTGAACTAATCCAAGATGACTCATATGCTGCCTTGCGCACACTCAGTGGACCGTCGTCACTGGCAGCTACGGGTCTGATGTCTCGGTTTCTGACACAGGATTCTAAGTTTAAGGTTCGCGTCTCTGCTGCTGACTCACGTCTCTCGTCCTGACAAACTCCCCATTGCGCCAAAGCGTCTTCCCGCAGAAACTGCCTTCGAGAATCTTTACCGGGTCCAATACAAACCGGGGCCCTGAACCACAAACCCTCGTCCCCAAACCCTAAACCCGCACGCCTAAAGCCTACCCCTTGCATTCTAGGATGTGCTCACGCGCTGGCAGAACAAATGGAAAAGCACTTAGCCCCTAAACCCTGCATCCTACCGATTTCGATGAAAGTTTGCCTGTGGGGATTATTCGCATCTCCGCCCTCTCCCATCACCAAAGGTGCAATCTGAAGATTCACAAAGGCTCAAGTGCTACACAATTAACACTACCCGCAAACCACTCCAACGAAATAATTCAGACCAGCGAAATGCCCGAGATTCTCACCCACGAGACTTGCGCTAGCTTACTTGGTAGTGCCTGAACCAAATGCGATTGTCAGTCACAAAGAAAGACATGGCATGATCGAAGAATGGCTTTGACTTGGGATGGTTTCTTGGGGTTCCGAATACCTGAACCAGAAACGCGAAGCCCAAAACCATACACCCTAAGCCCTAGTCTTTTACAGGTATCCAGCCCAACCTCTGTTCGAGACCGCTGGCAACAAAAGCCCCGAAGCCTCCGAATAGAGGCAGAGAAGCGAGAGGAATAGTTTTGGGTTTGGATCCAGTTTCGAGCTATTTCCTTACGTCCAAGCCTAACCCACTGAACCCACCTGCATAAAAAGTTCCTTTAGGACCCTAAAGTGAGGCTCTTTGTCAAACTCCGCTCCAAATATCAGCAACGGTCGAGAATGCAACAAACAGTTGCCCGACAAGCGCACCTCGTTAAGAGTCTCCACTGAGGCACAAACCATAAACCCTAAATGCTGAACCCTAAGTTTGCAGTCCCGTGAAAACAGACACGAGGGCGCCTGAGTGTTGGGTGAAGCCAATAAAAACCCTGAACCCTACCGTTCATCAGCCTCGCGATGAAAGTGGGTCCAAGGGGCACTTTGACGACATGCAGCAGTGCGTCATTCTTTCGCTGCTCTAGATATACCACACTGTTGCACCTGTAGCAGCAGCATCCACAGCGGCTACGGCAAACAAAACAGTCAATGGACTGGTGCGGCACAGCAGCCACGGGAACGAAAGCAGCAACAAGAGGGTAGCATGGGCACCAGTAACATACGATCGCAGCTGGCAGAGTTCCGCGATACTTTGAAGCTTTTCCTTCTTTTCCCACTTTGTCTGCAGCAACACAAATCCTCGGTCGTATTTGCTCCAACCCTCGAACCCACCTGCTGAGGCATCCAGTCCCCGGGAAAGACAAAAGTTTCGTGCCTGCCTCACCTACACTACGAGCTAGTGAAAATGCTACAAAGGTTAGAGGAAAGCTTCTCTTAGGGTCTATGCTTGCCTCCGACTTGTGGTGAGGAAGCAACTTCTTGAAGTCTTCGATGAGGTGCCGGGACCGGGCTGAAATCCCTCGGCTTCCTAGCAGCAAAACGCGCTGACGATTCAACCATCGCGTTTCCCTCCGAAGATAATCAGCGTCCTCTAACAGATATGGATCCGCTGCAGCTGCTGCATCGATTGCTGCTGCTCTATCGCCTTCCGCTGCGCCGTCAAGTGTAGCTGTTCCTGTCAATGCAGAGTCCGACGCAGCAGACGCGGGAGGGTCTGCTGCTGCTCCTACTTCCGGAATTTCCGCTCGCTCTGCAGAAAAGTCATCGTCAGTGACAGAACGATCTTCCCCGCATTCGTCCATTAGGAGCTCTTGGCGCTTGTAATGGCGGCTTTGCCGCTGCTCCTGCTTTTTCATCAACTGCCTGTTCAATTGCGGTTTTTGCGCCGGCTGGCCATGCTGCTGCAGTTTTGTCTTCTGCTGGTACTGTTCCTGCTTCTGCTCTGGCCGAGTTCGTGTCAAATGCAGCTGAAGCTGCTCCTTCCGGTGCTGCAGCCGTGGCTTCTTCCGCTGCTTCAGCTGCTCCGTCAGCATCCCCTGAGCAGCGCCGTCATCCCTTCCTGGTGTCGCATCAGCAGCTGCCCTTTTGCTTGCAGCTCCGTTTGACGCCCTTCCTGCTAGTGTTGTTGCATCTGTTCCTGCAGTCGCTACTCCGGCCGGTGCCGTCGNCACTGTTTCTTTTCGGCCCATCCCAGTATGTGGAAGAAACACCCGTCACGTGTTAGATTGTCAAGTTTCGCGAAATGTTTTCGGCTGTTTCATGGGGATTTCCTGGTACGATAATGAAGGAGTCCCTCGTAATGCATGCACCAGCCGCTGCATCGAGAGCGCGGCCCCACACGTAAAGTGAAACACTACCCTAAGACTTCAACTAAAAAAAAAGTCAAGATGCAAAAACAAAAAGTAATGTAAAGATAAGTTTCGTGCTTTATCTTTCCAGTTTTTTGCAATCGCCGTTGCACACCGCCATCGTGCCACACCGCAGCCAGCGGGGCTGGATGGAGACTTCCACCGTAGGTCCGATAGGTCTGATGAGCATGGTTTTCGTGCGCTAAAGCAGCTTGCTAAACAAATTAAGATTTCGGGAGCTTTGAGCACAGCTAAAGTAATCTCCTTCGCTTCTCTAGAGCTGGCATAGAAGTAGGATTCGCCGTACCGAGTCGTTGCTGCGTTGGCAGCGAGCCTTCCACCTTTTCTAAGGACTGTATTGAGCTGCAGTAGAGACAAAATACTAAACCTATGAGTTCCCAAGAACGGCTGACCTCCCGTCCAGTCCCCAGGCAACATGGGAACGGCGGCGCAGCGGAAGAGTGTAACGAGAGTCCTCCATGTGTCCGAAGTTTGCATAGGAACGTTCACTTGGGCTTAGTAGGCTGCCTGTCACCAGATACAGATGTTCACTAAGTGCGTACAGAGATGAGGCCTGCAGCAAAGGGTGCTTGGTTGCGTTTGTATGTGAGGCTGCACCGAGGTGCGCTGCAACTCATGTCAGGCTGACTCCTCTCCCGCACCCCCAAACCCTGAGTTGCTTCATCCAGGAATCCTGGAGATAGGGATGGGAGGTCAGTTGCTTTTAGAAAGTTTTTACCTCAAATCTTTGGTTTCACTGCAGCTCCGGACGGTCCTCAACTAAGACAGAGGATCCTCGGGACCCTCGCGTTACGTCGATCTTCGGGGACCGTCACAAGATGCAGTAGGGTCAAAACTACTTAGGACACGACTTCCAAAAAATAGCCGATCTGTCGGCGAGTCCACAGGCAACCTGGAGCTGGCGTCCCAAGGTCTGGGGGAACCTGGCGTGAGGTGCGCAGCGGGAGTCTTCGGCTTTTTCCGAGGCTGTCCTTGGGCTGCAAAAAAGTCGAAATCCTAGAAAGTTTCCAAATAACAGCTAAGCTCCTCTCCAGTCAGAGGGTGGCCTGGATCCAACGAGACAGGGGCCTGGGTCCAGGGGAGAGGGAGCAGCCCCGTTGCAACGCACTCTGCTGCAACTCGTTCTGCAACGCATGCTCTACACGAGGTGCGCTGCAACTCATAACATGCCGCCTCCTGTCACCGATCCCCCCGAGTGGAGTTAGTACGTGCGTCTTCACCTGCGTGCAGGCTGGCTGTGTTTACTTGCGTGCAGCATTGCTGTGGAGGGCCAAGTAAGCGTTTATTGAGACTGCTGCCATTCAGCATCATCAGCAAAAAAATACTTCCATGGTCCTCTCCTAAGTGCCGGAACTGCAGGCGTGCACAAAAGGATTTGCTTCAGGGGAACCAGAATATGTGGTGGAACCCGCCTACCACTTCTATAATAGTCCAAAGCACGCTGCAAGAGCGTAGCCAAAAGAACATTCTGCCGCGCTGTGGGACGTGAAGCAGTTGATGCAGTCGGACCGGTATAAACTGGAAGTGTGTCAATGACCTGTTGCCACCATTCTGAGCGCCTGGCGGCCGGTCCTAGTACCTCGCTGGCCGCGTATATTGCATCGGTCAACAACACGGCGAACGCAAGTTTCTCCACGACGTATTTGGGCTTCAAACCATCGAGGTTATCTGGCACACGAAGAATAGCATTCTCAACGAGCACCTCGAGGTGCTCCATGAGACGGTCTAGATCGACCGAGTCCAACATGGGCTTCTTCAGAAGTTCTTTAATCCCCAGCGTTGCGTTAGACTCACAAACCGTCCTCCGTCGACGTNAGCCTAAAAAAGGGATGTGTTTTAAGGTCCGCGTAGCGCAGTGATGGCTGTGACACTGACTCGCCCGGGAGAAAGGCAGCGATGGGAATGAATGGTGGCCTTCCCTAGCGGACAACTCGATGGACACACCACAAAACCGCTCAAATATAGGCGCTACAAACAAGAAAGCCAAAACTAATATATGATGAAAATAAAGACAAGGCACAGGACAATACCCAATTCAAGTTTGACAGGCGCTTGTGCAATCTATGTTGTGCAACTGTGTGGATCTGCTTGCACTTATCAGATACATCGCATAGGGCTCTGGATTGTGGGCTGTGTGCGTGCGCGCTTGCGTCTTCTTGCTTCACAACAATCCACGCTACTCTTGAACTTTTGTGCCGAAGGTTGGCTCGGGCGGGAGCACTATAGCGTGTAAGGCAACGCATCTGCAAACTGGCAACATCACTAAACAAAAGCAAACCGTCTCCCTTGGTGCCCTGCTGGCCTACTGTGTACTTGGATAGTAGGGTATTTATACTTACGCCTTGCATAGCAGACGCTGGCTCGTTGGGCTGCCTGATGATAGCTCCCTGAAGCGAATACTGTGAGTCTGAAGACGCGGCTGTTGCACCTGAGAATACGTGAGTGCACGGCGACTCTTCGCCTGGTGGAGGACTACCAGAGGTACCCCCCTCCGGCCAAGGTGGCGCCGCAGCTGTCCGCTCGGAAGTGCCAGGCTCAGCGGGAGAACCTGCGGCGGCGGACTCGCTTGAGGAAAGCGACTGCGACGACGTTTCCTCGTCCAAAAATTGCACTTCCAGATAGGGCTCTAGCAGCCAGTCTTCTGGTTCTACACCATCATCCTTCTCCTCCAACGTCTGCTCGACATACCGCAGGATTGACTGTCGGAGCTTTTCAGCAGCACCTCCCTCTCCAGACTCTGCTGAAGTCCCGGCAGCCCGTGAAGGGCTAAAGGATGTCTCTGGTTGTACTTCTAATGCTTCCTGCTTCTTTTTTCTAGGCGGTTCCTCTCCAGGCTCATCCCACAATTCCAAGAGACCTGCCTCTACAGGTTCGGGTGATCTCCCGCGACGGCGGGTGGCTGTTCCCAATTGGGATCCTTCACCCCCGCACACTTCCTGGACGAAGTCTGCGCTCTCACCGTCTTTTGTCCCTTGCTGTCCAGCTAATCTACGTCCCAAACGCTTTGGTAGCGCCTCCCTACTCAACGCGGCACAATGGGACACAAGAAAAAGGATAGCAATAACAGAAGCAAATGCAGCTAGGGTTACGGCTAGACCAACGCTGTTTCTCTTGCCGTATGAGGAACTGGAAGAACCGCCATCCGCATCTTCGCGTGGTTGCTTCCGTCTCGATGCTGGAGGAAGCACCGACAATTCGTGCACACCGCCCTCACCAAACCGAACTTTCAGGACCCAGTGGTCTGACATGGATCGGGAACTACGCTTTAGTTTCAACCACCATATGCTGGTTTGGATTANCGCCCCTCAAACGGTGCCCAAGAAAACAGGAGTTCGGATCAGACTTTTCAAATATCTCATAGTTGGTGAAAAAGAAACGGCGAGATCTCTTGAGGAGGCGTATGTGACGAGATCTACTTACACTTTGTCGACCGTGACCTGCTCATCCAAACTGCAGAAAGGGCCTACTGATATCCCAAACTCTTAACAACATCTAGAGCCACGGGCTTATTATCTCAATTCCCAAGCAGCTCATCTTCTACGGCAAGCTGCGTTGGTTTGTGCTACTACAACCTGGCAGTATCAGGGGCTGGGTTTGATCCGATCCAGCGAACTTGCAGCGCTCCTGATCGAGACAGAAAGCAAGGCAAAGACACAATAATGCCCGCGACCAAGAATACTAATGCTTGGGCTGCAATATATAATGGATGTCATGGACTGCAACCGCAGAAATAAAGTGTATTAGCCTTGCAGGTGTTTTGGCTGGTCAAGCAGGTCGAGCAAACTCGGCCCACCTAACATGGAGTGGCAGAGTATGTACGCTAAGTGTTGGGCTGCAAACTTTTGTCAGTCTTGCACTTAACAAGCAGTTGCTTGATTCTCCACAATGCAGGAGGACGACCATAGCCTTATAGCCTTAGGGCGGCCAACCTTCTTCACCGCAGTTCAGTTGACAGCATTGTGTGTGCATTTCAGACTTCCGGTTGAGGCGTTGCTGCGAAATCCCTACATATTATCTGAGAACCACTGTGAAGTGTAATCTAGACAAAATGCCCAAGATAAGGGTCCCGAAGAAGTAGCTAACTTCCCCGCCNCCACTGTGAAGTGTAATCTAGACAAAATGCCCAAGATAAGGGTCCCGAAGAAGTAGCTAACTTCCCCGCCTGGGCAGTGCCGTAGGGACAACCTTGGTTCTTAGTAGAGGACCGTTGTGAGCTACGATAGATCCAAAGTACCTATGGCAAAGCACCCCAAATATGCAGCCGGCCCCGAGTCCACTTACTGGGGGTCATGGGCGCAGTGGCCAACTGACCTGGGATTGGCAATAAAAGGAGCTGGCCATTACTTAGTTGCAGCGCGGCCTGCTATAGCGCAACCCTACATGCAATCGTACCGAAGCCCTACTTGGTACTTGCGCCACCGCTTTGGGCTGCTTCCCCCCAGTATCCAAGCTTCACGCGAGTAGAAATGAATGTGCCGACTTCAGACGGCCACGCTAAAGTAGTTCTCAGTGTTTTGGCTGTAGTGAAGCTTGAGAGGAACCTCAGTCAGGGATGAGGATTGTCGTAACACTGGGCGTTCCGAGAACCCAAGCCTAAACGCACTTTGGTTGCTTCTAGTTCATCTTCCAGCTTCATTAATCAGGTAGCAGTTCGCCCCAGTTACTAGATCACGTCACCATGCGTGCACCGTAGTTTTATACCAGGCCTCCCAGTATATACTCACCGTATGAGGGAGGATGCTTTATCCCTTTTTAGGCCCCTTATTCCGTTATTATTCCGTTATGTCCTTGCTCCAAAACGGAAGTGTGCTGGGCAGGCTCAGAAACCCAGAGGTTTCAGATAACCGAGGATGCACCCCATAGTATTGATAAAACAATAAGAATTTAGCCCCCTGATAAGAGTAGGGGCAGCTACCGCTATAGAATCAAGGCGAATGGAATCAATATGCACACACGGCGCATTCTAGCCTGGAGAGAAGCACTAGACAGACAAGTCCAAGGGGATACGAAGGATCACAACGATAAGGACCCGTAATCTTAAAGGGGAAAATGATCTGCCGGTTTTTGGCTAGGGTTATGCTGGTAATTCAGCGGCGGAATAGATCCCCGAGACTGCCTTGGGGTTACCCCCTTAGTAGCGACCCGAGCTCGTCAGGCCAGCACTGGGCGGGTGCTAACACCGCGCGCCGGCCAGGCCTGCACCCTTTCACGGCCTCGCTACTTTACTCGTGTAGGTGCTGCTTATCCTACTACACTCGTATGAAACCATTATTTGACCCTTGCTTCCAGGATGCTTATGCTAACCATCAGTTACCTACTATTTGTCCGGACTACCGTGGGCTAACATTGCAGTGCTAGGCACTACAGGTAGTGCCGCGGGGTTCAGATCTGACTGCAGGGTGGTGGACACTGAGCGGTCAGTCACTACGCCAGTATAGGTATTCTCATTCAGTAGCTGCTAAGCCCGATCATCTGTTAATTAATATGGCTAGAAGAAAGGGGAGAAAGACAGACATCAGTGCCCCTGTCCGCCTAGTGAGGCAAAGCCAGAACGAGATGTTTCAGAGAGGGGAGTGCACGAAGCAGCCTTTGATATAACGTTCAGCTGTGAAACGCGCACCTGAAGGGGACACAGCTTGCATCTGCGGAAGTCTGCACAGCAAAGTCCATAAATCGGTCCCTCAAGTATACTGCTTCTTCGCAGCTCATTCAGGATTCACCCAGAGTTGCTAACGCATCAAGTAAAAATCTTAACCGAACAAGCAGAAGCCAGTTCTACNTCAGGATTCACCCAGAGTTGCTAACGCATCAAGTAAAAATCTTAACCGAACAAGCAGAAGCCAGTTCTACCGCGCAGTTCCTTCCATGCCTCAAACAGTCATGCAAAGAAAAGATGGGCTCCGCTCACCCTTTTATAGCTGAAACAAAAGCACCTAAACAGGTCTCTAAGCAAATGGAGTTAGATAATCTTCCAGAATCGTTTGTTTCCTTAGAGACCTGGCCATATCTGAAACAAGTGGCAACGCCCCCCGGTTTCGCTGAGAAGCGCGACGAGTAAGTCGTCTGCGCCGTGACGTTCCAAACATGAGGAAAACTGGCCGACAGGGGTTCTGCACATATTGGGCGAGCCATTTAGGTAGTGCACGTTTTCCGTGGCTCCCTGGTTTGCAGACGAGGCTGATCGATGATACTTGTATCTCTACAAAGAGGAGCCTGTACGCAGCAGAGTGTGGCGTCGCCCGGGTACGCTGCTCAACATCAAAGATATTCCATAGTTCATTTTGACAATTGAACCGAGCGATGCAACCACTCGAAGTGGCGCACCAGATGCGTGTGCGCTCGGCCGCCTTGTACGGGGCAAAGGATTCTCGTAGACGGCGCCCC